CAATCCTCCCTCTGTCAACTGTCCCAGCCTGCCTATCGCGCCGGGCACACCGTGCACATCCCCCCCATAGAATGACTGGTTCCTCCCTATATCCCCTTCCGTTCAGCTCTCGACCTTGTTTTCACCCAGGGCGCTCAGAGAAGGCCACAGTCCTTCGTTGTTCCCAAACCGCTCGGGGCTGGGCCCCGGTCAATTGCAGCACCAGGCACCCCCAACTGCCCCGCTTGATGTCCATTCCCAGATCGGTACTTCGGAATCTCAATTTCCCTTTTCAGCCCTGAAGGCTGAGCCGCACAGTTGATAATCGTATGAGGCCTCCTGAACTCGAAAATAGGTCGCGGTGGTGAATACATCAGCGTAGTCATCCCTAACCTGAAATAGACTGGCGTAGTGGTCCCAAAGCTGAAATAAACCGCCATAGTGGCACCAAACCTGGAATAAATGGCCGCAGTGATGGTGCCGAGCATGAGCTAAATACCCGTGATAGCGCCGAACCTGGAATAACCTGCCGTCCAGGTTCCGAACCTGAAATACATCGTCATAGTGGCTCGAGAGCTGAAAGTAAGCCACCGTGGCGGTTCTGTCCCTGAAACAAATTGCCATGATGATGCTGATCCTGAAATAAATAGCCGTGATGATGTCGACCCTGAAAATAAATCACCCTGGTGCCCGAACCTGAAGTACGTCGATACCGGCTCAGGCCGAACCTCAAACATGTCCGGTGCCGAACCTGACATCATGCTGCCGGTCCAATGTAACACGATCCCACGCTGTCCATATCCATGTGGTCATCGTCCGTACCGACGGGCTCAGTAAGGTTAGTAATCAGGTAAATAGGGGATGCGTCATAGAGAGTTTCGATTATCGGGAGATAGCAAAAAAAAAAGTTAGAGCTCAGGGAATTTGATCAAATCTGGGTTCTGAGCTGACGGTGGGTATCCCAAGCAAAACCAGACCAGGCATCGAATAATCATTAACTCTTGTTTGTTCCATCATTTTTAATCGTTTTCCCTTTTCCTTAATTCTAATGTCTGCAATAGTGAATTAGCCGTAGGTTCACCAAAAATGAATTCTGAGGGAGTTTAATCAAATGGTTGAAATTCTCTCTTTTCTTCTCTCCCCTACCATGTTAAACCTTTTTCTCTGGTTTTCTATTTCATTGCCGGAAACATAAAATAATGAGGTATTTTCCTCAAAATTTAAATGCCGCAAAAAATAAGGGAACTAAGGGATATTACGTTTTTCTCTTCCCTCCTACTGTTCCCAATCTTTTCTCCCATCTTTAGTTTAGGTGAAAAAAAGATAAAAATTTGAGGCCTCATTTCGGCCCCGGTCGTATGCCGCAAAAACGTTGCGGCAAAGTCAGTTCCCGCGATGCCTCTCCGCGGCAGGCCAATCCGAGTCTAACTCTCTAAACAGCCGGGAATAACAGTCCCTAGATGCGCCGAGTGTGGCCACTTATCTCGCCATCTTTGAGGATTACTCGTAAGGCTCAGTGCGCCTAGAATCAGGGGCGCCCTGAGTTCCCCTAATTTTTGCTGCCTGGTCATACGAGAGCACCATCAAAAGACGGACTCGTCCCTGAGCCTAAGTCCCAAAACTGCACATCTCAGGCGGCGCACTGCTTGCGGCCGCCTGGCAGTTAGCTCGGACCACTTCTCTATGCCCCCGTCGAGCCCTAGCAACTTACGTCAGACGAAGCGGACGAGCTTCAGGGTGATGGCCCGTAAAGGACGCCCACGTCGGCGTTCAATTGTCTTATGTTTCAGTTTGTTATGAGTCCTGGGGCCAAGAAGATGCTTCTTGACTCTCCTGTTTCTTCTGGTTTTTGGCCCCGGCACGATCCTCTTTTTCTTCTGTCTTTGTCCCGAGAAGGGTGTCGATCCGCCAGTACGTCTAACGCGAACTCTCCATCTAGCTCGCTTGAGCACGAATAACCATTTCTTCTCTCTTCCTAAAGCTAACCCTTTGACCTTTCTCTTCTCTATCCTTTTCCTTTTCTTGGAACTCTCCCCTGCCTCGAATTGCCTCAAGGGGGGTCCATCCTCCATCATGACTTTCCCTTTCCTTTTCGGGCTGGTTAGCGATAAAGCGGGCGTGGATCTGGGCCTAAACAACTTTAACCTAGCCCCCGCCACTGAGTCCTTCCACTTAGATCCGTCTGGTTCTGCTATCATATATGCACCCCAGTCAAGTGCCTCAACCACTCTGTAAGGTCCCATCCATCTATTGGCAAGTTTTCCGGTCCAGGTCTTTTCCAGCGCTGCATCGTAGAGAAGGACCATATCTCCTACGCTCACCCTCTCTTTCCTGATTCGCACGTTCTTATCCCATCTCTCTTTACCTTTGTCCCTTTCCACTACCAGACGATCTGCCGCTGTCAAGAGGTCATCTTCCAAACCGTAGGCTATTTGTCTCGTTTGGGCAGCTAAGAGTTCCTCTCTGGACATCTCCTCCGCCCAGTCGATGGTTGTCTAGCTGTCGACGTGAAATTCTATGGGAAGCGGACAATGTCGTTCAAACCACAAGGTG